CTCAGAGAAAAGTGTAACCCTAATCTCTCCTATATACACTGCAGAGGCCATCTACTCCAACTAGCACTAGTATGAGCTGCAGAATCTTCAAAAGACATAAAAAAGCTATAAATTTAATGTCTTCATTATATTCTTTTTTCAGCAAGAGTCCAAAAAGACTGAATATCTTGGAAAATATAGAAGATACATTGCAACTGAAGTTCAAATTAGTCCAACCTGGGAAAACCCGCTGGCTTTCTCATGAGCGATCCTTGGCTGTTGTCTTAAAATTACTCCAGCCATTACTACTGGCTTTGGAAAGTATTTACCAAGATGGGATGGATCTAAGTAGTGAGGCTGGTGGATTACTTTTGCTACTACAGTCAGAGAACACTACTGCCATTCTCTCTCTCGTAAGTCTACTGTTGAAACCACTTGGGTCATTAAACAATGCCATCCAGGCATCTGCTACAACAGTAGTAGAACTTTGTCCAGCAATAGAAGCTACATTTGAATCAATCAGAGAGCGATCCATTGAAAAAATACTGGAAGAAGCAAAGACTTCAGTCCAGAAGTTGATTAATGAAGGCATTTATATTGAATCCTTAAGTGAAGAAGACAAGAAGGGTTTGTTAAGACAACTGAAAAAGTACACAGACTTCATTCTTAAAAATCTACAACAGCGACTTCTAGATTCTACTCAACCTCTATGTAGCTTTTACAGATGCCTGTCCTATAAAACACCGACAGTTGAGTGGAGTGTGGCACTACCAGCAATGGGGCTGCCATGTGATCAGGACAGAATAGAGAATTTGAACACAGAGTGGAATATCATACGACGAATGAATGAAGATTTGATTTCAACTTGTTTTTTATCATTACTAGTGGCTCGACTGATCTTTGTGCTGTTTCCTGGGATGAAAGAAGTAGGAATTCATCTCTTGCTACTCCCAGTCACAACAGCTACAGTTGAGCGTTCTTTTTCATCATTAAATAGAATTTTGTGTTCTGAAAGAAGTCGCCTTCTGCCTGATCATGTGAATGAACTAATGAGCATATCAATTGAAGGAATGGAAGTACCAGACACACGAGAAGCCACCAAAGATGAATGCATTGCATTCAAGAAGTTCATTAACAGAGTTGTGCAAAATTATAACAAGAAACCAAGAAGGATGTAGATGTAGTGCTTCATAGAAGGCTTGAGTAGCCAACTTTAATTTGTGTGATGATTTTAAAACATGAGTTATATATAATAAAATGGTCATGAAACATTTTTCAGTTTTTACTATGGTGCCACAGCCCACCTTCACCCTCACAGTCTCACCCCTCATCAGCCCTGACACCCCCCCGTAAATTCAAACAACCCCCCTAATTTCAGTTCCTGGGAAAACCACTGAGGGTCACTACAATACTCTGTCTGACCCAGCCAGACAGGCTCAAGGGTGCACTGGGATCCTTGCACCATCTCAGCGTTTGCTGATCCCCTTGCAGGGCCTTGTCCTCACTCAGATCGGAAGCCCTTTGGGGCTGGCAGACCCTTGTTCTGTCTCTGCAGTGCCTGGCTCACGCGTGGGCACTAGATCAATAATAACGCTCACTGCCCAGCCCCTAAGGGCTGTGTGACAGTGTGGGGCCTTCCCCATTGCACATGGGGACCCTGGGGTTCAGGGAGCCCTGGTTACTCTGCCCCACACATTCACCCAGCGACTCCCATGAGCTGCCGGATGTGGGTCCCTGGGATCAGAGTGCGGGCAGTCGAGTGGCACTGACCGGTCAGGGGCTGCTGAGGTGGGTGGAAGGAAAGGGTTAATCCCAGTGTGGTGACACTTTGCTGCCTGGCCCTGGCTGGTTTCTGCCCTCTGGGTGCAGCACAGGGCATGTGTCTCTGAGCAGGTCCCTGCCCACTCACCCGCCATTTGCCCCAGACACAGAGACTCCAGGTGCCGAGGGAAGGAGCAGCCCCAGCAGAGCCGCATTGGCCCTGGCACGGGCTGAGCCTGCGAGCGCAGCAGCAGCGGCAGCGGCAGAGAGAGGGGCTCAGCCATTGAGAGCAGCAGGGTCCCCACCCGCAGGGGAGGGGTCAGCGCTGGGACAACAGGCCGGGCTGGGTCAGGGGCTGGGAGCTCTGGCAGAGAGCGCGGTACCAGCACCAACAGCCCTGCTGGAGACCCTGGGCCTGGCCAACTGGGAGCAGCCAGCGAGTCTCTCGGGGGCCTGGGACCCTGCCCAGGATGGGGCAGCTGGAGGGTGGGGGGGAGGGGTTGTGTAACAGGAGTCTCCCCCGGGGCTGGAGATCCCTGGAATGAGGCACTGATGTGACTGGCTCAGGATCCCGACAGGCTCAGGGGCCAGGGGTGTGGAATGGCCCAGAGCCCAGCCGTGCCCAGGACCCTGTGGCCATAGACTGCGCTGGGCTGGGGGCAGCAAGGGCGAGGAGGGAAGCAGGGCTGGCAGTGGCAGGGGTCTGAAATAACCCAGAAGGAGCATTTGGCCTTCCTGACTCCAGCCTTGTCCTGCCATTGTGTCCTGATCGCTGCCACCAACTCCTCCTCCTCCTCACTCTGGCCCACCACATAAACAACAATGGCTCACATTTTTGGTTCTTTTGCAATGGATGTTCTGTAGCATCTCTGTCTCCCTTCCTGAGCTGGGGTGTCTGCGACTTTGCTAAATGTGTTAATAAACCGTTTGTAAATCTAAAAGAGTTCCTAGAGTGTGAATGTGCAGCTGTGCACAGTGGGGTTCCCAACTGTGTCATGATTTAAATAATGCTGAGCCTGATCTTGGGACAAAACCAGTCAACCCTCAAAGTGACAACTACAAATTCGTAAGTAATCAGTATAATCAATATAGAATCTCTAGATTGGGCTATAGGCCCCCTCATACCCACTGCTGTCCCCTTCACTGGCTCCACTCCTTGTCCCCACCCCCCAGGTTCTGCCCTGCCCATCCCTCACCTGACACCTCCTGCTGCTCCCCGACTACCAGCCCCACTCACCCTCCTTCTCCCTTTGTTCCCTTCTCCCACCAGCTCCCCCTACACCCCGAACAAACTCTCTGCTGCTGAGCATCATCCAACCACCTCCTCCTCCTTCCTGCCCTAGAACCCCCTGCTCTCACCCGCTTCCCAGCTCTGACTGCCCCCCACACTCCTGTGCTGCTTTAATTCACACACCCAGGCACTGGGCACTAGCACAGTGCATATGTGCAAGGTCCATGTCCTATGGTGACACATGAGACCCAAGCTCTGTGACAGTCTCCTGGCCTTACGGGGCTCTGCTCCAAGCCCTCCCCTGTCACTGCCCCTCCCTGGCCAGTCCAGTGTCCTGTCTGTTATCGGAGTAGTGAACGGATACTCTTGTGGGTAAAGTGCTAACCTAGGGACCAGCAGATCTAGGCCCAACTTTGCCACAGCAGGGGGTAGTCAGGGCTTGTGGTCCCTGGGAGGGGACCTGGTGGGAGGCTTCTCCTCTTTCCCTTGGAAGCAGGTGTGAAAGTAACTTACATTTCTTACAGATACTGTCCTATGGCAACCGCCCCTTGGGGTGGGGACTCAGGGCCAGGGGTTGGGGCAGCACCATCCAGGGACTGTGTGTGCTGGCTCAGGCCCACCAAGGCTGGGGCCTCACCCCCGGGCCGTCTGGTGCTGGGGCCGGGAGTCACGGGCGGGGGGGTGGGGTGGTTTAGGCTCCTGTGGGGGAGGAGGGTAGAAGGGGAGGGATGGGCCGCCCATGCCATCCATGCCCAGCACCTCCCACTGTTACCCTGCTGGCAGCATCCAGAGCCCCGCCCCCAGCAGGCCAACCTCTTATGGGTGCGCTGCACCGGGGCACCCCGGCTTACTTTCACCTCTGCTTGGAAGTAACTTTAAGGATTTGTCTACATGGGGAAAAGCCCTGAGTAGCTAGTGCAGAACACCTAGTCAGCACTGCCTGCCTGTGCGGACACTCTGATTCCATGCTAAGAGTGCCCTTGTCTGCTTTGGGTTAATGCACATTGGAAGAATACAAGTGCAGAATATTCCACACTAGCTACTCTGGACTCTTCCCCATGAATTCCCCATGCTGAGAAGCCCTAAGTGTGGGGAGAGGAGGTTTAAATTCCTTGTTCCTCACCCCAGCAACACTTCTAGAGCCATCAGCTGCCCCTCTGTCTCTACCCACTCTCTGCCACTGCATCCAGCAGGGTTGGAGAAGCTCATCAACTGGATGTTTCTGCCAAAAAATGGCCAGTATTGAAATAAACAATGTATTAACTAGAGGTTATAAAATAGCAACAGAGAGCAGTTAAACAATTATCTGTTTGCACCAGCTCCCCTCTGCCCCCCAGCAGGTACCCGTGTGTGTGTGTGTGTGTGTGTGTGTGTGTGTGTGTGTGTGTGTGTGTGTGTGTGTGTGTGTGTGTGTGTGTGTGTGTAGTA